CCAAGGACCCAAGCAACCCACTCAAGCTGTGAACTCGGTGTTCCAAGAGGTGGCAATCTTAATGATTTTGCAATGTGTATGGACTGTGCCTATGAGATGTTCCTCGGGAAATCCACATACCCCCCCTAAATTTGACTTGGCAACTCATAAGAACTACTCGGGGATACATTCAGGATAAGAACATCATAGTCCAAGTGTCTAAAGCTGGCCCCATTTTAACTGTGTTCCCCAATATAACTGTGAATCTCTGCCACTTCTATCCCCCATGACCCAGACATTGGCCCTCATTTGCCCTCTGCTTCTCACTACTGCAGCGCAGGGAACCACATTGTTATATATGCCCACAACATCCAGCCGGCAGAGTCTGGAAAGACCAGCTATGGTGTGGGGGATGGGATGACTAGTATTGTGCCAGTTGGTCTTATGTGTTCACTAGGCACTTATGGGGGAACCCCCCTCTTAAGAAGGATTACATCTCCCTGAAACGCCTCATTTCCCCCAGCATAAAATAGATAGCACACAGTTTTTTCTCCAGTCTTAAGCAAATGCAAGTGGGAGGCTGTCGGGAGCACTGGTGTAACCCTGTAAATATAACCTTCACCAAGGTGGGGTAGAGAAGAGAAGATACATGGATCAAAGGACATACTTGGGAAATCAGACATTAGGATAAGCTTCAATGGTTTGGACAGGCACCTGACCCAGGAGCTATAGTCACCGTAAGATTGCTTGTTGGCTATCCTACCACTGTAAAAGTGATAGGGCCCAATCAAGTTAAACCCAGGCCCAAGCCCAAGCCTGTCCCCATACCTCAGCCCCTTAAACCTAAGCCCACCATCTCCATGCCCCAGCGACAACAGTCACGTCCTTGGCTGGCAACACCATGACAGTAACTCCCCAGGCCTCAACCTTGGTGTCTTTCACTGTAATGTGTTCTTTTTCTTTCTGGCTCTCCCCTTCCACTCCTCATTTGATATTGTTATTACTGTCATCATTGATGTTAACGGCAGTTGACAGCACCATCACCCAGAGCAGGGGCCCAGCTGAGACGGACCTGCTTCTTGAGTTGGTGCAAAGATCATTCATGGTTTCAAATTCTACTGAGCCAAACTTAACACCTTCTTGTTGGCTTTGTTATGACACTGCACCCCCTTATTGTGAGGGCATTGCTATTATGGGAAATTACCCCTTGGAGACTGAGCATGACCAATGCTGTTGGCAATCTAAGGCCAACCTGACCCTTGAAGAAGTAACGGATCAAGGGTTCTGTATAGGTGCCATGCCAAATGACACACGAGCACTATGCAATCAAACCTCAGCCCTTCCCACCTCCCTAGGAAGTCTAATTCCTCCTAAAGATACTTGGTAGGCATGTTCCTCTGATGTGCCCATACGAGATCCTTAATGACAGCAAAGGATTCTGTATTTTGGTGCAACTGGTCCCCAGGCTGATTTGTCACTCAAACAAGGAACCACTAAATAGACTAGGAACCCCAGTCATGGGGCAAGTTAGGAGAAAACCTATGTCCACTCTTACCCTAAGTATATTGCTGGGAGATAGCCTAGGCAAGCTGGGAATGGAGACGGCCTCCCTGATTACTCAAAATCAGCATTATTCCAGCCAACGCGCTGTTACAGACACAGATACAGAGTGATTAAAAAACTCTGTCTCTCACTTACAGAAATCTCTAACATCTTCAGCAGAAGTCATGTTACAAAATAGAAGATGCTTAGACCTAACTTTTCTTCAGCAAGGGGCACTCTGAGCTGCATTAGGAGAAAAATGTTCCTTCTGTATAGATCATAGCGGGGTGGTAAAAGACAATATGCCCAAGGTGAGAGAGAACAAGAGGCCAATCAGGGAGGGTTTGAATCTTGGTTTAACAGTTCCCTTGGCTGACTACTTTAATCTCCACCCTACTGAGCCACCTCTTCATATTATCTTACTCCTAACTCTGTATCCTAAACAGGCTGGTATAATTCATGAAAGAGAGGCTTGGGGCAATTCAGATAATGGTCACCAGCTATCAGCCAGGGGCTCTGATGGAATTAGATAATTTACGACAAGATCAAGACCCATGATGGGGCTCTCGGAACAAAGAAGAGAAGAGAATAAAGGGACTAAACAAACTCCATTTTGAAAAAGAACTCCATTTTAGACAAGGCCCAACCAGGAGATGAACTCAGTCCTACTAAACATCCCAATAAGAGTAAAAGTTCGGGGGTCTTGAGACATGGGCACAATAGTAAATGCTTGAACAAATGTGTTTGGAAAATGCCTTGATTTATGACTATGGTTTGTCCTGTGGCTATAAAAGCTCCTATAAGCACTTCCGGAGTGGAGCATGCCATTTGGGGCAATTTGAATCCATGTGTCCCAAAGCATGATCATTCATGTTTGGCACAGAATGAATACACTCTCTGCTCCCTTTTGGATGAGAGATGTAGCTTGATTGGACATATCTCTATCTCCAGAACACTCATCCTTTCTAATAAAACTCTCTATCATGGAAGTACTTAAAACTGTATGCCATGTTCTTTTAATGTAAAAACACAATCATAATCACTACGTAATATACTTTGGGGAGGAAAATCAGGTTCTCTAATGAAAAAAAAATCAGGCCAGATATGGTAGCACACACCTGGAAACCCAGCACCAAAGAATCTGAAAATAGGAGGACTGCTTTGACTTTGAGACCAGCCTAGGTTACACGTGGAGGCACTATCTCAAGCAAACAAACGGGGCTGGCAGGAACAGTTCAGAAGATAAAGGCATGTTCAGCTAAGTCTGAAGGCATGAGTTCAGTTCCAGAAACCCACTTTCTGAAAGGAGAGAATCGACTCCAAAAATTATCCGCTGACTTCCACATGTAAAGAAAGAGACCTGGTCAGTCGTCCTCATCAACTTAGACCATGAAACCCAATATGGACAAGTTCAACAGAACCGCCACATACGGGCTGCCCATGCATGCTTCAGCATTCATTTTCACTCATTCCACAGGCAAATGGTGGCGCATGCACACATGCGCGCTGAAGCAAGAGTGTGCGCTTGCACGTGAACACACACACATGCTTATATACCACACACACACACCACACGCGCACACACACACATATAAATATATGTAATGAAATCTTAAACAGTATGTAAAGAAGGCAAACAATTTCAATGTTGGATAATGAAGCTGAATTGCCATCTATTCAAAAATGTGCTGGGCGGTGGCGGCGCACGCCTTTAATCCCAGCACTCGGGAGGCAGAGGCAGGCGGATCTCTGTGAGTTTGAGGCCAACCTGATCTACAAGAGCTAGTTCTGGGACAGGCACCAAAGTCACAGAGAAACCAAAGAAAAAGAAATAAAAAGGTTTATTTCTGCTGGTAATTAACTTTAACTGGAGCTGCCTGAAGCCCAGGGGCCTTAGCGTTTGTCTTTTACCTGTAAGCACCAAAAGAATGCCTCTGAGAAGCAAGGTGTTGAAGATGCTAACAGGAGAGGTGAGATTTCTGGAAGAATAAAACACAGCCAAAGTTTCTGCCCCCTGGAATGAGCACCAGTTCCGAGGTTTCTTTGTTGATATTTGGTGTTTGCAGTGCCGGGATGGAACCCATAGCCTTGTAGACGGCAGACAACTGCTCTCTGCCACTGACCTACAATCTTCTTTTAAGAATGAATATTCAGAATACCCAATTAAGCACATGTTAAGTGCCTGGGAGATTTACAGAAGAAGAGGTTTACTGCAAGAGCGCAGGAGCTTCCTCTCCCTAGTTCCTGACTATGGAGAGCATGTTAGCCATTTTTGGGGAACTCTTTGGCATCTTTTCAGAGGGCAGTTTAGTTTTCACTTTAAAAACTCAGGGCTTAGACAGACTGTCACAAGACACCAAGAATATTTAGAGGAAGGAAGCAGGGTTACAAGGCTGTGCCAGGATGATATGGTTAGTAAGTGCTTAGTAAGAGAATCAGCAGTGAATAAGACGGCAACAGACGGCAATCCATCCAGGCTGCTCTCCGCAGTTTCTTCCAAACCTAAACATCCCTACAGACCCTCAAGGGAACATTGTGTAGCACCCCTGTTCTTAATCCTCAAACTAGAAACATGGAGACACACCTTCCATCTGTTAAAGGCCGACTGAGCCAGCAAAGGTCTTACTCAGCATCTCACCTGGACAAGCAGCAGAGAGCATCACAACTACTGTTTGATAGTTCACAAAAAATTCTGGCCAATGAAATGACAGAAAGGAAATACAGCTTACAGCTGCTAGTCTACAAGAGAAGAAACTAAGTTTGTCAGTCTGGAATGATCTTTCTATTCTGTTCTCCAACAACTGCATAAAAAAAAGAAAGAAAGAAAAAAGAAATAACCTCTTGCAAGTTCTAACCAATCGCATTTCTACCGCTTGCAGTGGCTATCTAGATGAAGGAGCTTAGATTTCCGAGGAAATCAAGCAATACCTCACTCATTTAACTTGTCACTCTAAGAGTCCAGGGCTGGTCTCTGTGGTTGTCTCTACTCAGAGCAAGCCACCTGTCTCAAATTTCTGGGCGACTCTACACTCACTAGGTACAGGGCATGTGCTCAGGTAAAAGCACCTTATTTTGCCCTTTCATGCCACTGCAGAGCTAGAAAGAAGCAAACGCTAAAATCCATTTTTAAAAAAAAAATTTAAAATCAATCTATGTATTACCCTAGCTAATGAACAACCACAAAGACTGATTTCTTTTTCTTTTCTTCTTTTCCCCCCACTTTTGGTAACACATTTTCCATCGGAACAAACCTTACAGAACTTGCAAGCCATGAAGAACCTGCAACACAGCAAGCAGAGGGTAGCTGGGCCCGCTCCCAAAGCTCCTGAGGCCGCGGACCGTAAAAGGGGGGGGGGGGGGGGGAGGGATGGAGCCCGGGGGGCGCGCGCTGGGGAGGGGCTCCCGTCTCCATGACGACCGCTCTGGCGGGGTGGAGTGGGGGTTTATCGGGGATGGGGGAATCCGCGGGGACGGCCTACCGTGTAGCCGCGTTCCAGATCGCTGTCCTCGTGGCGAAAGGACGGGATGTAGACCTCCATGGCCGCGGCGAGGCCGCGCCACCCTCGGCTCCGCAGCACCGTGCAGGCCGCCCCGCCTCCCGCTGCCCTCCCGGCGCGCGCGCGCGTGCGCGCAGGCCGAGGTGCTCGGCCGGGACCGGGATCCGCGGCGCGGGGGCAGCGGGCGCGGGCGGCGTGAGGCTCGGCGGGGCCGAAGTGTGGGGCCTGCAGGGCGGCGCGGATCAGCTGGGCCCGGGAGGCGGGGCTTGCGGGCCGGAGTCTGCACCGGCGGGTGTGCGCGGCCACGCGGGGCGCCGCCACCCGGGTCTCTCCTGCCCTGCGGGCTCCGGATCTGCGGGGCGCCACCCCAGAGTGGGAGCCAGTGGAGGACGGAAAATGATGGCGAAAAATGACGGCTAGGGCTGGCTTCGGCTTTCGTGCTGACCTAGGCAAACCGTGCCAACTTTCACTGGGTCTGCTGCGGCTGCACCCCATTCAGCTAACCCAGCCTTCCGAGCCTGGGGGTGCGACCGCACAGTCTCAAAGTGACTAGTGCCCGCTCTAGTTTCAAGACATTCACTGCTTCTAAGGAACTGTAAGTGGACAAGATAGAAGTGATTGCTTTAAAGTGTGGTGGCCAGACAGTGCCTGTCCCTCAGCCGCACTTAGCTGCCTCCTGGATAGTTCAGGAAAGTGGATTATGAAGTTACTCAAGGAAACTGAGTTTCTTTCTTATGTTAGTGCAGAATAGCATTTGGAAGAAACTGTGGGACACACAGCTGTGATGTAACCCACATCTCATCTGATGTCAAGCGCAACACTGACCAGCCAGCGGCTTCTTGAGTTTACAGTAAGTAAACAGTTGCTTCCACTCACTTTGCCCTTGAGGACAGGGGGCATTTCAACATAAATTCTACAGAGGGAGATGAACCCTAAATCATAGAGAAAGTGCTCTTGTTTCTTCCTCCTCTTCTTTGTTTTGTTTTTTTGTTTTTGTTTTTGGGTTTTTTTGGGGGGGGGTTGTTTTGTTTTGGGACGGGGTTTCTCTGTGTAACACCTCTGGCTGTCCTGGAACTCACCGAGCTCTGCCTGCCTCTGCCACCCATGTGCCACCACCGCCCCGCAGTGACAATCTGAGTTCTTGCCTGCTGTGGACTTAGAGGTCCTCCACAGCCACATCTGAAGAGGCATTCTCCCCGACTCAGCTCCTACAGCCCCAGGATGTGACCTCCTACCTGTAGCCACCTGCACTTCCTGAATCCAACAGTTCTGTGGTCCCTGCTGGTGCAGAGACTAGTTTGTAGATTGTTTTAGCCCCTGGCAAGTGTCACATTGTATTGTGTGATTTCTCACCTTTTTTCTGGGTAAATTTTAATTTCTATTCAAAAGTACAATTGCCTTAAAAGAAAATGTGTTATCGTGGGTTGTGATGGACCTGGCCTTTAATTCCAGAACTAGGGAGGCAGAAGCAAGCAGATATCTGTAAGGTCCAGGACAGCCAGGGCTACACAGTGTTGTTTTTGTTTGTTTGTTTGTTTTGTTTTGTTTTAAATTGTATTGGAGCCAATGAGCTGGCTCAGTGGGTCTAGGTGCTTGCCTGATGAACTCCTAGATTCAATGCCTGGAACCTACATGTTGGCAAGAGTGAACCAAGTGCCACCAATTGCCCTCTGACCTCCAACACCCACTCACCCCCACCTCTCCCACACAGCAAATAAATAAATGCATTATTCTCCCTGTTCTTGTTTTTTTTTTTTTGTTTGTTTGTTTGGTTTTGGTTTTTCGAGACAGAGTTTCTCTGTAGCTTTTGGAACCTGTCCTGTAACTAGCTCTTGTTTGACACAAGCTAGAATCGAAGAAGAGGGGAGAAGTCTGTGAGGCATTTTTGATTGCTAATTGATAGCACTGTGGGCAGTGCCACCTCTGGGTGGGAGGTCCTGGGTGGTCTAAGGAAGCAAACAGACAAGCCATGGGAGAGCAAGCAGCAGGCAGCTGTCTTCCGTGGTCCTGGTCTCTGCTTCAGTTCCTGCCGCCAGGTTCCTGCTCTTAAGTTCCTGCCATGACATCCCTTCTTGATGGATTACAACTGTGAGCTCAAAGAAACCATTTCCTCTCCAAATTGCTTTTGATCAGTGTTTTAACAGGGCAATAGAAACCGAGCCAAGACACTTTTCTGTGGTACTATATCTGGTGCATATTTTTCTAGAATCTAAGTACTTACACAAAACGCATAGAAGAGGTCAGGCCCTGTGTATAAACTTCATGTCACGTCCCAGGGAGGAAGTGTTGTGTGCCGCTATCTGCAGTGGAACTTACAAAGTTAGAAAATCAGTAGTGTTTCTGGATTGTTGTGTTTGGATATCTTTGCTTTCTGTTTGTTTCTGTAATCAGGCTGTTTGATTCTTAAAACACAACCTCACTATATAGCCCAGGCTACCGCAAACTTAAAATCCTCTTGCCTTGGCCTCTTGTTGTGTGACAGGGGTTGTAGATTTGCACTCCCCCCAACACACATATATAGGATATTTCCACTTACCAAGAGGGATATTCAATCTCCTCCCTTCTCCCCCCTCCCACCAACTTTTTCCTTTTGCCTTAATTCTGTAGCTAAAACCCAGGCTCTTTATTGAAGAAGAATGGAAAGTGGGCACCCTTGTCTCCTTCCTGATCTTTGAGGAAATGCATTCAGGTTTTCGCCACTAAGTATAATGTTGACCATAGGTTTATGATGCGTAGCCTTTATTGTGTTGAGATATGTCTGACCACTGTTATTCTGGGCTTTCATCACGAAGGGACGCCAAAGGCCTTTTCTGTGTCCGTTGGAATGACCTAATGATTTGTGTCTGATTTGCATATGTTGAAGCATTCTCTTCTCTCAGATTAAACCAGCATCATTGTAGTGCATACCTTTTTTAAAAAATGTATTGTGGTGAATTCAGTTTACAGGTATTTTATAAAGAATTTTTGTATCTGTGTCCATTAGGGATAGTGGTCTTCAGTTTTTTCTTCTTTTCTCACCTGGTTTGGGTCTCAGGATGACATCGGTTTGGGTCTCAGGATAATGACAGGGTGTGTGTTTATTTGTTTGTTTGTTTTGGGTGAGGTGGTGGCCAAGGTTAGCCTGGGTGGGAATCAGGAGTTCAAGGTCATTCTTAGCCACCCAGGCTTGGCCAGCGAGCTCTGGCCTCTCTAGTTTGTGGTACAGAGGTCTTTCATGCGTGGAATGAGTTAGACAGTTTGTCTTAGTTTCTTTCCTTTCCTTTCCTTTCCTTTCCTTTCCTTTCCTTTCCTTTCCTTTCCAACCCGTGGGACAGCTTGAGGAGTATTAGTGTTGGCTGTTTTTCTTTTTTTTAAATTAATTTATTATATTATGTGTATAGCATTCCTTCCACGTGTGCCTGCAAGCCAGAAGGGGGCACCAGGTCTCATTATAGATGGTTGTAAGCCACCATGTGGTTGCTGGGAATTGAACTCAGGACCTCTGGAAAAGCAGTCAGTGCTCTTAACCTCTGAGCCATCTCTCCAGCCCCGTGTTGGCTGTTTTTCAAAAGCACCCTAGAATTCTTTGTCAGGGAACTATGACTGCTTCTATCACGCTGCAGGTTATGGATGTATTTAACATAGATCCTCTTGCTTGAGTTTTGGTAGGTCATATGTGTCTATAAACATACTCATTTCCAGATTTCCCATGTTTTCAGAGTATCAGTTTTCAAAGCACTTCCTAGTGACCCTCTGGGGTTGATGCCTCCTCCCCCTTTTTCTAATTTTGTTAATTCAAGCCTTCTCTTTCTTTTGATTATTTGGTAAAGGTTTGGTCAATCTTGTCTTTTTCCACAAAACTTTATTTTTCTTTGTTTTATTTGCTTTGTGTTGTTCTTTTAGTGTCCATGCCTTAATTTCTAGTTGGGTTTTTATAATTTTGTTCAATACTACGCTGGGTTGTATCTCATTCTTGTTCTTCTAAAACATCATCAAATTATTTATGTGAGATCTCTGGGGTTTTTCTTTTACACGCGGATGTGTGGCGTGCATACACATGCACAAGTGTGTGGTGTGGATGCATATATCTATGTGCACGTGTGTGCATGTATGTAGAAAATTGAAATTGAATTGTGGTAGGATGTTTTTTAAACACTTCCCACTTTATTTTCTGTGTCGGAATCTCAGGAGCTTTCCAGTCCCAGATAGTCTAGCCAGCTTGCCCTGACCATCCTCTGCCTCCTGGGTGTTGGGATTACAGGCAGCCACCATGCCCACCCGAATTTTACGTGGGGTTAGGGATCTATCCAGTCAACTGTTGGCCTGCTAATCCTTTCTCTGCTTTTTAATAGAAGCACTCAGAGCTCTGAACTTGCTTCTTTGCTGTTTCCCACATGCTCTGATAAGGTGTGCTTTTTATTTTTATTCAGTTGTAGCAATTTTTAAATTTCTCCTCTGATTTTTCCAATTCCAAAGTTGTTTCTTAAGTTTCCATGTATTTGCCTATTTTCTGTGTTTCCCCTTGCCAGTGCATTCTAGGTCTGATTCACTTTAATCAAGCAAGGTGCAAGAAATTATTCCGATTTTTTTCTTTGTTCCTATTGGCCATATATCGTAAAGTGTGATCATTCCAGAGAGTTCTGAAGAGAAGAATGTGCATCCTGCATCTTCTGGAAATACCTGTTAAGTCTATTTGATCTATTATGTCAAATATTGTTGACATTTGTCAGCTCTTAGTTTTGATGACCTACCTATTGACTAGATAAAGGTACTGAAGTCACTCACTATTATTATATCAGGACCTTTTTGTCTTTTTATGTCTGACTATGTGTATGAAACCAGGACCTTCACGCGGTCAACAAGACAAAATGATAGCTACAGAATCGGAAAAGATCATCACTAACCCCACATCAGACAGAGGTCTGATCTCCAAAATATACAAAGAACTCAAGAAATTGGACACCAAAAGAACACATAATCCAATTTAAAAAACGGAGTGCAGACCTAAACAGAGAACTCTCAACAGGGGAATCTAAAATGGCTGAAAGACACTTAAGGAAATGTTCAACATCCTTAGTCATCAGAGAAATACTAATCAAAAGAACTCTGAGATTCTATCTTACACCTGTAAGAATGGCCAAGATCAAAAACACTGATGACAACTTATGCTGGAGAGGTTGTGGGGAAAAGGGGACACTTCTGCATTGCTGGTGGGAATGCAAGCTGGTACAACCCCTTTGGATGTCAATGTGGAGATTTCTCAGAAAATTAGGAAACAACCTACCTCAAGACCCAGCAATACCACTTTTGGGTATATATCCAAAGGATGCTCTATCATGCCACAAGGACATGTGTTCAACTATGTTCATAGCAGCATTGTTTGTCATAGCCAGAACCTGGAAACAACCTAAATGTCCCTCAACCAAAGAATGGATAAGGAAAATGTAATACATTTACACAATGGAGTACTACACAGCAGAAAAAAATAATGACATCTTGAATTTTGCAGGAAAATGGATGGAGCTAGAAAACATCATTTTGAGTGAGGTAACCCAGACACAGAAAGACAGTTATCACATGTACTCACTCATAAGTGGTTTTTAAACATAAAGCAAAGAAAGCCAGCCTACAAACCACAATCCCAGAGAATTTAGACAACAATGAGGACACTAAGAAAGACTTATATAGATCTAATCTACTTGGGAAGTAGAAAGTAGAAAAAGGCAAGATCTCCTGAGTAAATTGAGAGCAAGGGGACCTTGGGGGAGGGTTGAAGGGGGGAGAGGAGAGGCAGGGAGGGGAGCAGAGAAAAGAGTAGAGCTCAAAAAATGTCAATAAAAAATTAAAATAAAAAGCATTAATCTTCTGGGGGGTAGTGGAATGCTAAGGGCTAAACCCAGGACCTCATGAAAGAAAGAAAGAAAGAAAGAAAGAAAGAAAGAAAGAAAGACCTTCAATGTTCAGTGCCTATATACTCAATATTCTGTATCCAGCCAGGAAGTGGATTTTCCTTTTATTAATATGTTGTGCCATCTTTGTCTCTTTGAATTAATTTTGGCTTTAAGTTAATTCCATCCGGGTTTCGCGCGCAGCGGGCGAACCCCATGGAGTCGTATGAGCAGGTCCAGAAGGGCCCCCTGAAGCTGAAAGGCGTCGCGGAGCTGGGCGTGACGAAGCGGAAGAAGAAGAAAAAGGACAAAGACAAGGCCAAGCTGCTGGAGGCCGTGGGGACGAGTAAGAAGAGCGAGGAGGAGAAGAGGCACTGCCTGGACAAGCACACGCCGGCGCAGGCGGCCTTTGAGAAGATGCAGGAGAAACGGCAAATGGAAAGAATCCTGAAGAAGGCGTCCAAAACCCATAAGCAGAGAGTGGAGGACTTCAACCGACACCTGGACACACTCACCGAGCACTATGACATTCCTAAAGTCAGCTGGACCAAGTAACTTGCCCCGGTGCAAAAGACAGGTCAGGCTGGCTGTTTTGCTCACCTCGGTGTTTTCTAGAATGCCCTACACCTGCCTGGTACATCTGCTGAAACCAGACTTTTCTGAAACTTGATTAAAGTCAGGCTGTCCTTTCACCGGGTGTACCCTTTTCTATTTGGACTGCAACATTGTGCTTTGACAGGCTCGGGTCTTTTCTGGGTTAGGCCCATGGAAGGAGGGTACCCCTCCCACCCTGATTGTGGCATCTGTCTTCATCTGCACCATAATGCCAGGACAGGAAGCTCCTACCTGTGGCCCACCACACAAATTTCCACAGTGCCGCTGCTTTTGGGCCACCTGGACATCAGACCACACAGCCTACATTGAGCAACAGCCACCTGAAGCAAGAATGGGACACAGGTCTCCAGCACATACCCTGCCCCTCAATCCACCTGGTGGTTGCCATTGCAGACATTGCTAATCAATCCAGTTTTCAATGATGGCACCTGGGGCTCCAAGCATATGATACATGTTATAAGCCTGCTTGGCATTCCTGGCTTAAGGACACCAAATACCAGACAATGCCAGGGCAAAGTGCCAGCAGACCTGGTGTGGTGGGAGAGCCCTGGTGCAGATTCTGTAGAGCTTCATCATCTGAGAGTCTAGGTGGACCTCTTGGAGAACCTGTGCACACACTGGAGAGAAGCAACTTCTGTTACCATGGATACTGAAAGGCTACCAGGAATCCCTGGAGCTGGCATGTAGAATAAAGCAAGTGTCAGTCATGAAAAAAAAAAAGTTAATTCCATCCGTTATAAGAATAAAGGTAGCTGATTCTAATGGAAATCTACTTACTGCCACCCTTAACACTTCCTTTCTTCGGCCATCTTTGCCAGGGAGGTTTATCTGTTTGGAGGCAACACATAGTTGGATCTTGTTTCTTAATCCTGTGTCTTTTGTTTTGTTTTTTAGCAGAGTCTTGCTCTAAGTCTTGTTATGTTGTCTACCTTGATCTCATATTTGTGGCAGTCCCTCTACTTTAGTCTCCTGGGTGCTGGGATTACAGGGATCACCATCCCTTTTAATCCGGGTTGTCTTTTGAACCCCATATATAGATCAGGCTGGCCTGGACCTCAAAGAGATCTGCCTACCTCTGCCTCTCAACTGAAATGATTAAAGGCCTGCGCCACCGCACCCTGTCATGACACCAGTACACACTGGCACAAGTCAGACCTAGCTTCATGTCCTCCAGTACTTCGTTTTCCAGATGTCCAGAATGTTCTGAAGCGAGAAGACATGTTTGCTTGTGGAGCAATAGTCCCTGGAGAACAGCCAAGGAAACAGCACTGAGGCCTCTGGCCTGCTCTCTCAGAGGTCTCCTCCCGTCCTCTCATCTCCCTTCCCCTCCACCCTTTCCCTTCCTTTTTGAAATGGAATCTCATTATTCAGTACAGGCTGGCCTCAGAGGCAGTCTTCCCGTGCAGCTTCCCCCCTGGTGGGATCAGGACTTAGCCATCCTGTCTAGTTTATGGTCTCTTTCCCCTCTGCTGAGCCTTTGCTTCCATAGGGCCTGCAGGCCTTTACCATGGGGGTTTTCTGGCAGGAGCCATACGAAGACAACCAGACACTTAGCAGACACTCCTAATATGCCAATCCTAGCCTTACTTTTACTTCCCTGGGGTGGGGGTGGGGGGCGCAAATCTCACGTGATCATGAAGTCTGGCTACTTCTCTACTACAAGCTGTGGACTCAGGTATTAGGCCCTGGCTCAGCTGTCTAAAGACTTTTGGCCCTGGGCTGATCTGTGCTTCCCACAGGGCACGCTGTTTTATTTCTGCGGACCATGCTTTCCCTGTGTGTGGAAAGTTCCCTTGCAGCTAGCAGTGTGAATAACTCCACCCACACACTGCTCTGGAATCTCAGCAGCCCCCTCTCAAGGGAGGCCCCATGGGCCACAGGTCTCAGACGCCAGCCACTGTGCCCTGCAGCCAGCTCTGGTTCCAGGTGCTCAGGGCTCGGTGTGTGAGGTGGGTGGCAGGGTTGGTGGCTACCAGAGAAAGCCAGCAAGCTCCTTGCCCACCTGCGTGTTGTCCTTTCATGGAATTTATTCCTTCCTGTGTTCTACTGACTGAGACTTTCTTCTTCTGTGTGTACAGTCATCGGCTGCAGTGCTGGCTCCATAGTCCCTGAATCGCTTTAGTTTGTACTTGTCATTTCTCGTTACTTTGTTGAAACATACTGCACTGTGTAGCCCTGTGTGATTTACTGTGTAGACTAGGAGAGTGAACTCTGATCATCCTGCCGCTGACACATAAAGATGACAAACGTGTCCTACAGCACCAAACATCTTCATTTCTCTTACTGTAGCCTTCCTTCCTTTTTCTTTGAGGTAGGGCTCATGTAGCCTGGCTCCAGCCCTGACCTTGCTGCCTCTAAGCATGGACTACAACCTCCTTCTTCTATCCATCCCCGTTTCGTGCCAGGTGCTGGGGACTGAACCCAGGGCCTCGAAGGCAAGAACTCTATCGTGAGATTCTGTCCCCAGTCCTCTCTTAGTGTTCCCAACAGCTTTCCCCTCATAACGATCAACAGAATACTAAATAAATCCAACCATGTGTTTTAGGTCCTGCTTTCTGATAGTTGAAGAAAATGACACGTGTGTGCACGCGTGTTTTGCTTCATTGTATTTTTGTTGTTGATAAAGGGTCTTCCTTTAGAACCCTGGCTCCCCTGGAACTCCCTATGTAGACCAGGCTGACCTTGTACTCCCAGAGATCCTACTGCCCCTGCCTCCTGGCATGGCTTCTGTAGATGGCAGTTTCTGTCCTACCTGGTCCCGCAGCCTGAGTTCAGTCCCAAAGAAACACACAGAGGCTTAGGTTAATTATAAACTGGTTGACTTATTAGCTCAGGTTAATTATTACCTAGCTCTTACACCTTAAATTAACTAATAATTCTTGTCTATGTTTAGCCATGTGGCTTGGTGCTTTTTCTCAGGGAGGCATTCTCATCTTGCCTCCTCTGTGTCTGACTGGTGACTGTGTCTCTGCCTTTTCTCTTCCCAGAATTTTCTTAGTCTGGTTGCCCTGCCTATATTTCCTGCCTGGATACTAGTCAATCAGTATTTTATTAAACTAATATAAGCGACAAATCTTTATAGTGTACAAGAGCATTATTCCACAGCATTTCCCCTTTTCTCTTTTCATAACAAGAACTATGAACCTTATCTCTTTTGTTAAGCTTTTTTTCCCCCCTGACCATTATCCATAACAACTTATAACCAACACTCTAAACAAAGACAAACATCCATAATCCATTTTTTGGGGGGAAATGTGGGCATAGTTTTCTAGGCTACTTCCTGCTGCTTGGGGGTGTTGGTAATCTTATGGGATCCAACGAAAATTTAGGATTAGGGTCAAGTCCCAACTGGAGTATTCTGTGAAGCTGGATCATCTCAGAGCAGTCTTGGAAGTTTTTCTGAATGCAGAACTCATAAGCAGCTGCAACAGAGATGCTCTGAAACATTAGCTAATCTGGGCCATCCATTCCTATTGGAGATATTTCAGGGGGCATTCCTTGATCAAACTTGAGTTTTCTTAACCCAGGATGAATCCACAGCCTCTCATTTCCTGTGGAAACAAAAGCAAAACCTCTTTTCCGAAGTAACATACCTTTTGACTTAAATTTTGAATTCAAGGCATTTTCAAAATATATAGCTTGGATGAATCCAGCAGCATTTATAATCAAATATCTTTTAGCAGCCATTGCTCCTTCCTCAGCTGTCAAACAATTCAAAAACAACACAGTAACATACAGTATCCAGATTCTCTGTGTATTTTCCATCTTTATGTGGCTTTTTAAAAACTCTATCTCTTTTATTTTTAATTTTGGTTTTTTGAGACAGCGTTTCTCTGTGTATCTTTGGCTGTCCTGGAACATACTCTGTAGACCAGGCTGCTTTGAATGCACAGAGATCTGCCTGCCTCTGCCTCCCAAATGCCAAGAGTAAAGGTGTGCCCCGCACCTGATTTTTTAAAGGACTCTATCATTTTTCTTTTCTCTCCCAAGCCTACATATATTTTTGAACACACTATAAACCGTTTAGAGTTTTCTTCCCCCATCGGGAAAACTGTTGAGAGTTTTTTTTTCCCCCATTGGAATCTGTCTTTACCAAATATCTATCTTTTGCTGAGCACAAGTCTTTAACCTGCTAAGCAACATGGCTAGGATTAAAGCTGTGGCTTTTGGTGGCTGGCTCCACCCCATTCCTTAGCTTTTTGGGAGTCTAGCTTCATGGCACGGGTACTGGTAGATGCTACATTCATTGCCACAACTCTACAGAGTTTCTAAGTTCATCCCACCACCAAGAAGCCTGATGCCAGCTGTCATAAACACCACTGAAGTGTTTGGCAGCACAGCCTCTTAAAAGAGCTTCAAGACTTTGATGCTATTGCTGAATCAGGAAGCCTCTCTTAAAGGAGCCGTGCCTCTGCTAGCTGGCAGCAGAGCCTACCAGAGAGAAGATGGTTACCAAGAAGGTCCGCTTGACTCTGTGTCTAAGTCTTCTTCCTTCCTCATCCTTCTCCTCCTCCTCCTCTTCTTTCTTCTTCTTCTTCTCCTCTTTTTTTTTTTTTTTAAAAAAAAAGCTTTATCAGGCTTTATATGGGATTCCTGGAGGCAGGATCACCATTTTGGACTGAAATAGAGGTTAAGAGCCAGTGGCTGGCTGTTTTGCTTTTCTGATCTTCAGGTTGAACCCCAGTATCTGTCTCTGGGTTTTTATTAATTATGCTACAGGCTTCATTGTGTATTCATGATTTCCAAACTCTAACACGCAATACTCCTCCATTGTTCTCCCTCACCTCTGTCTTTTTAAACACCTGTCATCCAACGTTTTGGCAGCTGATTTTCTTTTTTGATACCTCTGGTAATGGTTTCATTTCTTGCTTCACTAAGATAATACAATCTTTCAAGTTCAAATTCCTGTGGTTTCCCGTTTCCTTTCCAAGTCAGCCCATCTCCCTTTCCTGTACTCAGAGGAATGCTCCATTTCTTTGGGGGGCTCTTTCCATCCACCTAACATTCTCTGACCTTCACTCAGCCATCACGTTTACGCAGCAGTCACGTGGACTGTAATGTGAATGGGTGGAAGAAA